CTAAAAATTATTTTTAACCAATCACAGATTTGCATTTATTCTAGATTTCTGATTTCCGGTGTGATGTATGAAAATCAATGGACACAGTAATTTGAAAAGCGCAATAACCCACAACATATTTAATCAACGCCCATTATAATTTCACGCACAACATATGTATCTGAAATGCTAATATACCATAAAATAGCAAAATCTACTGTAGTTAATAATAATTACGGAGATAAAACAGACAAGTCTTAATGGCGTTCTCAGTGCAAACCTAATGCTAATAATTTTACCTGGTAACCTTTTTTTTTTTATAGGATGGAACCTTAGGCCAAATATTATGCGAGTTATTATATTCCTAATGCCTATGTTTTTTTTTATATGATAACAATATAACAATTTATTTATCCTGTATTATTATAGTTTACGATATTTCTGACCCCGAAATATTAAAGAAAATAAGAGAACTTTCAGATGAATATAGGAATGAACATATAGAAGCTACGGCAGGGATGTCTTTGGACAAAGTTTGGACATCTTGAACATTTTTAAATATTAAAATTGCTCAAAATTTTATTAAGATAACTATTTCAACTTTCTAAGTAAAAATGTTTAGAATTATATAATCATGTTTTTTTTTTATTAAAATAGATTTTTTAATTATCAAAGCTTTGACGAGCTTTGGACGTTGGTAATACAATATAAAAATAATTAATATAGTGTTATAAATAAGGGTATTATCGATTAATATTTCGTATGAATTGAATATTTTAGAAGAGACACTTTTATATGATATAGCCTTAAATAAATATAAAGAAGTAAACTTAACTGAAGAGAATATTAAAGAAATCCTGAAAGGTATTTTATATTGTTAGTTCAAGAAATATATTTATCAATTTAGAGTGTATATCTAAGTTTTTAAATTTTAGATGATCCTTTATTAAATTTGTCTATGTATATTGTAATTTAGAAATCAAAGATCTAAATGAATTGACCTTTCCGAATAATCAATTTGAGCTCATGATGAAACGTGCAACACGATTCTACTTATACGTATGAAATCCTGAAGAATATTATTGATGGTAAACAAAAATAGACGCATTGAATGAAGACACTGTACCGTCATTTTTTTTACGGTGAGGACCGTCATTTTTATCGCTAGCATGTAGCAGTATTAAATTTAAATTTATTTGCATGAATTATTAGAAAGTAAGTATAAAATTTCAATAATACATTAAATATAATTTACTACGCCTTTAATTCTTCCTGCAATATTTAACATTTTTTAATTCTATTTCTATAAAAGCAAAATGTTCAATGAAAGGTGTCTTTACATCATAACAACGTTAGAATTTTATCTTCCTAATTAAAATATATTATGCTTATCTCCTGTCATATTTACAACATAATGTAGACCACATATTAATACGTAATTAGTTTTCATCTTATTATATAAAACAAAACAAAATAAATAATGTTTGTGTTTGTTACTTTAAAGAGCACGTTGGCAAATATAATTTTACTTTGTAACTTATAAGTTTATTCGTTCAAGAGTAATTAAAGTTTTGTAAAAAAAGAAAAAACCCCGACCAACGATTTATTATGTGGCCTACATTATGTTGTAAATCGTATGATAGGAGATAAGCATAATATATTTTAATTAATAAGATAAATTCTACCGTTGTTACACCTTTCATTGAACATTTTGCTATATTGCGGGAGGAATTAAAGGCGTAGTAAATTATACAGTATTTAATATAACGTATAAAAAAAAAATCTTGGTGAAAATCACTAAGTATCGCTACTATGTTTGTAAACTAAGTATCGCTACTATGTTTGTAATCAGACACCCTAATAAGCGACTTTCATGCAATCACGCAAGAAAAGAACGGTGATGAAAAAAAAGAATGGTGAAAAAAAAGTACGGGAAGAAAAAAAAAACTGAACGTTTAGTTGTATTGCTGTTATAATCTTTGATCAATTTTTATAAAGCCGTTCAGATTATTTTACAGGCAAAATCGACAAAATTTCAAGACCCAGAATTCGTGTTCGTGCCACAAAGAATCGAATGACGATCCCCCTGCAGCAAGATCGTGAAAATGCAAGCCCCCAGTATGCATTGACGCCGTGAATCTCATAGAGCGATGCCACTTACCCGATTTGGCTTGACAGATGTCAAGGTAATATTACCTTGTCGGGTAAAGTCTGTGGCCGTGCTAATGTGTCAATGGGAAACTGCTAGAGTAACGAAATGGCGTGAATGTTTTCTTGAATTCTTGTCTTCTATTTTGCCCTGTAAAAATGTATAAAAAGCCCTTTAGTTTTAGAAAAAAATGTAATTAGTCCTTGACCATATAATAAAAGACCCAATCCGCTCGTAAAATAACCCTAACCAAATTTCCGTTGACCGTCGTAACCCATAATCGTTCCCGCATAACATATTCGACTAAAGCCTTAGACCGCCAAATCGAATCCGCCTTTAATATGTTGAATAATGTTATGCGACGCCCTTCTTTTGTTGATTGTGTGGTTGGTGGTTTAACCTGTAACAATATTATTTTCATATTTAATACGTAAGGATTACACCATAAAAATTCGCAGTCCTGTGATGATGTGCGATAAAAATTTCATTGACAAAAATAAACTGTCATTGCATTTTTAATTAAAAAATTAACTTTTGACGTTAGGATAAAGGTAAGCGTTAGAATGATGTAAGGAAAAATACCGCGTATAGTAAAATTTTGTAAGGAATTTTTTTTTCTTATAAGCCAAAATTTTTTGAAAAAAGCTGGCAGTTTCACGTTATAGCTGATTCTTTGTCATGATTGGTTTAAAATCACGGGACTTTGGATTTTTTATGCGATAACTATAAAAAAAAAAAAAAAAAAAAAAGTATCGGTACCGAATTGCACGTAGATAACGATGTTGAGACAGGAAAGATTCAACTAGTACACCTAGGAACCTTTAGAACTGTTGATAATATACAGGATGAATTGTTTCAAACTCCTGATACTGATGACCCTATTGCACACGTACGTATGTATTTTTTATCCATTATCTTTCTTTAAGTAAGAAAAAAGTAGAACCTTTGAACCACAACCTTATATAGTCTTACATCCAAATGTAAAACCAATTCTTCCAAAAGGTTCATCAATTTATCATGTTAGTAAAGAATTTGGAACGGCTACGATGGATGGATTAGAACATGTTGTTACAGCTTTGGCGCAGGGACAATCTATAAACTGCCGGTTGAATATCAATGTTATAATACCATCTTATAGTTTTTTAAGAACACTGTGCAAGTGTGAATTTTACACTCAAGTATCAATTAAAATTCAAAATAGTTATGGTGTAAGGAAAACTGTCAACTTCAGAGTTCTAAGATTTTTATGGAACGTTGATATCCTCAGCGATAATCCATCACAATTCCGAAAATTTTGGGTTTACCTAATTGGACCCGCAACAAATCATCCACTTTTTGATTTGACTTTTCAAGCATCCAGTGCTCTTGAAATATATTCAGCGCCACAAGGATTACCTCTGGAATGGTACAGTTGCTGAACTTATACATACTTGGATAAGTATTCGGAAACACCACTTTTTGCCAGACTTGATAATAGAGGAGTAGACGTTGTGCTTCTTCATGGATCAACGAATTCATTTGTGATAGATTTTCTCAAAGAATTATATAATGAAGACCAGTATAGCAAACCATCACCTCTAATCGTTTATAATTCAACTCTACTTGTCAACTTTAAAATGTCCAAGAATTCGAGTAACGATATTAATAGTATTGATGAATATTAAACTATATTCATGGTTGTCGATTTTATCCATCAGCTCTTGTAATTGATAGAGCCCAAACAATAACCTTTGTTTCTGAAACCATGGCAAAAGAAATGGTAGAAAGATCTTTGGATTCTCGTGCAAAGAAATTAATTATGCCGAGCATTGTTCATCGTGCATCAAAAGGTCATTGAATTGGAATCACTAATAGTGTGGATTTTACTCAATTTAGCCCATTTGATGATATGATGCTCTTGGAGATCGATTCACATTTCCCAAAGAATATCATGACTTTTGATTCCAATAAGATACCTCACAATGAGATTAAGGATAACAGCTTAATTTCCTCTGAATCAGGTGAGCATATTCCTGACATTAAATCTTTGGATGAAACGTTGCAAACGTACAAGAGTCATCTAAGAGGGTTGAAGAGGTGCAAATAGCGAATTTCGATTATAAAACTAGAATCTGGTGTGGGTAAAGAATGCAAACAGAATTTTGATAAATTTAATTCTACAAATCAGCCCAAAACTCTGGTGCATTTGGAAGATGTTATATACCAACTTTTATTACAACTATCAGAATATTTTGCAGTTCTGTTTCTAGTTTTCAATCTTAAAAACAAGGTACGTTCATTAATAGATACATAAATTATTACGCAAATTATTTTCTTTTTGTTATAAATAGTAATTAATCAGCTTTTATTTATTTGTAGTCAGCTGGTTTTTTAAATTATTCTACTCCTCCGCCTTCAAATATATTTGAACTAAATATACTGGAGGCTTATTAATGGGTCAATATCAAGGTTCATATGGATTTTCCACAGCCCTCTAATCTTTGAACCGGTGCAAAACCCTTATTACAAGAACAAGAAATTAGTTACAATTTTAATTTTGCTCAGTCTGTGCAAAATTATAATAATTTTCTTCGTAGTATTTATCGGAGAAAAGGAAGAGATTACTCGTATACTGTTAGGGCGAAATTATTTCATATGGATCGTGAGCATCAATGGTGAGAACGAGGGGTTGGAATGTCACCTCGACTAAGTTAGTTTATTTATTGCATTATTATATGTTATGTTATATATTATACTAAAATGTTTATTTAAAATACTATTATTATACTTCAATTTAGTCATGCGTGCAGATAGTGTACTGCGAATGATTTTGAATATCGCTTTACGATCACAAGAAAAGTTTATTGAGAATTGTCACATTTGAGTGAACTAGTACTGCTCCAGTTCATTTTGTAATAAAGGTTTGTCCAAAATTATCCACTAAAATATTTTTGATTTCTTTTTTTTTTTCTTATTTGAATTTATTTTTGGTAGCCTTTCTAAAGCGAATTCTGTGGATAACTTATGTGATGCTATACTGGAAGTAATACCCGCACCTAGAAATAGTAATTTGGTTAGGTTTTAAAACCTTTAGGCCGTGTTGTCAATTGCATAATTTTGGTTTTTTTGACACCATGTTCAAACTCTGTCTAAAACCAAAAATTTAATTGGTTTTGGACAAATGTATAAAAAATTAAAATTTTAATTTAATATATACATCTTCATATGAATGAGGTCTAAAATAAATATATATATAAATGTATAAAAAATTAAAATTTTAATTTAATATATACATCTTCATATGAATGGGGTCTAAAATTAATGTATGAAAGAGACAAAGCAATCATTAAAACAATTTTTACATAAAGATTAACAATATGTCTTGTATACGAGTGTTGCCAAGGAAAAACTTCGATCTGAAAATTATAGTTTATTGATCGAGCGCTAAAGTATGATTATGTATTAATTCTACTATGTTGAGCCACAACCTTGTGGTTACAGTTTATTTTACCCGTAATAATACAAACAAATTTTGAATATTATCTAAATTTGGTTAGAACTAATATTACATAGCAAGATAACAACCCTAATATTAAATTATAGTCTGAACCAAACCAGATTTAAATTAGATTTGAAACTTATTACATGAAAACTTAGTTCTTAGATCTTTAATTTTAAAACCTAATTAAAGGCAGTGTTGTCAATTAATATAACCAAATAAATTTTTTAATTGAAGTGTATTTCAAGGTTTTCGACTTTTCAGTCGTTTAAAATTGTTCAAAATTATTTTAAAATTATTAATATGTTATACAGTCAGACTTTTTAAGTATATACCCTTGAGATTACACTTTAACGATATATATTTAGAGAATAATAAAAAAAATTTATTTATAGAGGTCAAGTATATATTAAAGCCAGAATATAGGCATGTAAGGAGTGCACTTATAGAGGGCGCACTTAAAGAGATCTAATTGTATTTGTATTTTTAAGAAAATAAAGATTAGTGTAAGTTTTTTTATAACTATAATTATAAAAATCTAATATTTAAAATTATTATTCAAGTTATTAGTATACTGTATTATATATCTAATTAATTATATTTATATTTTGCTATAACAAATCTAACACTGCTCATTAAAAAATTTATCAAACATAATAAATTGAGAGATCTAGTTTTTAAATTGATAACTAATCAATTTGTTTGTTAAGAATTATATGGTACACATAAATACTATATGAGTGTTGCTAAAAGAAAACCTGAAAATTTAAATATAACTTATATTTAAATTTTCAGGTTTTCTTTTAGCAACACTCATATATAAGGTTTACTACCAGCAACTTGTTATATGTACTATTAGTTATAGGACCTTTTAATTATTAATAATTATTAATTATTTGGCTGTTATTAAATAAACACTAATTAATAATATATGGTGCATCTAAAAACAAGGGAATATGATGAAATCAAATTTATTATATTGTATTATGTAATTAATCTGATTTATCAAATTATCTCATGTGAAAAATTCATAAATTATTAACAATATCAAGTTATTAATTATTAAAAATGTTAATAACAAATTATTAATTTTTTATTATTAACTAAAAACTAAAATGTCCCATTACTATATACTTTCATAAGTTGTAATATATAAAGTAGGTTGTAATAAATATTTAAAATCATAATGATCATCATAGGCTGTAATAAATGTCAGATCACAATACTTGTCATATTTATATATAGATTTGGATTAGTGTTTTAGGCAAAATAATATATTTTTACACTCTCTGTATATACTTGTTTGCAAAATCTGAACAAATCCCAAACCCCAAAAATACAATTGCTATTTATAAAAAATTAAACCAAAAAAATAAATTTAAAATTTTGAAAATATATTTATATAGCTATAAATATATACAGTCAAACCCTTCTATAGTTACACCTTCAGAATACAA